AACGGGCTAAAAACAGGTTTAAAGGGCCACCGCCGTTTTTTTTAATACAGAGATCCAGCCACAAAAAGGAATTTAAACTGACTGCACATTGACTGCACCGCCGGAAGAAGTCTTAAAGGAAAACCAGGTTTTAGGGTTTGCCTGAATTATCAGGTGTGCACAAAGCAAAAATACAGTATATCTCTGAAGAAATGCAAAAATATCTCTGAAGATGTGCAAAAAATATATTTTTTCGATCCGGTAGCTGCAAAGGATTTTGCGACCAGATTTACAGCGTTTAGGTTTCTATCAATTCAACAAAAATTAACAATAGGGTGAATGAACTTGACGGGGCATCCAAAGGGCTGAGGATTTTGCAATAAATAAAGAATGTTTGGAAAAATAATCCATAGGTTTATAGTACTGTCCATCGACTCTGAAGTTTCTCGGAAACCATTTTTGATGCGAATAGCTCAAGACATAAAGGGACACGGTGGCTCAGGGGCTAAGACGCTGAGCTTGTTGATCAGGCAGTTCAGCAGTTTGAATACCCAGCGCCGCGTAATGGAGTGAGCTCCCGTTCCTTGTCCCAGCATCTGTCAACCTAGCAGTTCGAAAGCATGTAAAAAAAATGCAAGTAGAAAAATAGGGACCCCTTTGGTGGGAAGGGAACAGCGTTCCGTGCGCCTTTGGCATTTACTCATGCCGGCCACATGACCGTGGAGATGTCTTCGGGCACCGCTGGTTCTTCGTCTTTGTAATGGAGATGAGCAGAGCCCCTAAAGCCAGAAACGACTAGAACATGTGTGCGAGGGGAAGCTTTAACTTACCCCAAGATATACGTGAAATGTTTGAATTCTATGCAGAGAAGTAAAAGGCCCCGAATGTTTGAACATGTCCTCAAAGCTCAGCATTGAAGACTACGGTCTCCTCCCCTCTGGCTAGAAGTGAATGTCACTCCACTCAAGACGGCTTCTTGGGTGACGTGAGCAGGGCGATTGGAATGGGCCCACGGGGAGGGAAATGTGCCTTGCGCTGTGGAGTTTTTCATGTTCTCTCTCCATTTGGCCTCCTGCTGCTCCTTTCTTCCTCCTGCAATAAGACGCCTCTTCCAGCCATTCCCAGATAATAGCCACGCTGCGGAGGGGGAGACATGACAGTACCCTGTGTGCATAGCTAAGCAGGGCAGAGAAATGGGAGGGAGGGAGGGAAGGAAAGAAACGAAGGAAGAAGGAAGGAAGTAAAGGAAGGAGAAAGACAGAAGGGAGGAAGGAGGGAAGGAACGGAGAGAGGGAGGAAGAAAGGAAGGAGAAAGAGAAAAGGGGGGAGGAAGAAGACAGGAGGAAGAAATGAGAAAGAGAAAAGGGAGGAAATAAAGGAAGGAGAAAG